GAGAAGAGAAGAGAGAGAGAGAGAGAGAGAGAGAGAGAGAGAGAGAGAGAGAGAGAGAGAGAGAGAGAGAGAGAGAGAGAGAGAGAGGGGGGGAGGGGAGGGAGGGAGAGAGAAATTACATGTACATCAACATAACGCTTAGACCCCTCCCTCCCTCCTCTCGAATTAACCCTAACCTCCCCCTCCAACCACCCTCTCCCTCCCCTACGCTTAGCCTCCCCTTCTTCATACCTTTCCTTATCTTCCTCTTTCCTCCCTCCTCACACATCCTCCCCACCTTCTTTCCCTTCCTCTCCCTCACTCATTCCTCCCTTCTCTCTCCTACCTACCCTCCTATCCCCTTCCCCTCCTTTCTTTTCCTCCTTCCCCTCCTTTCTTTCCCTCCCCCCTTCCCCTCCCACACCCTCCCTCCACCATCCCCATTCCATTACCCTCCCTTCCTTCCGTCTCCTCCTCTCCCCTCTTTTCTTTTCCCTCCCTCCCCCCTCTCCTCCTTCCCCTCCCACACCTCCTACTCCTCCCTCCCATCCTCATTCCATTACCCTCCCCTCCCCTCCGCCCCTTCTTTTCGTGTCCCTCCCTCCCTCCCCACACCTCCCTACCCTTCCCCCCCCCCCACCCACCCCTCTCTGCAACAAGATCCAAGGTTTGCCTCTCGATCGCCCGTTTCCGCCATTGCACAACGAGGAATGCAATTGCAAGAGATCTGGGCGTGTTTGGGTATGTTGTCTGCAGCCTCCTTTACTTATGCCAAGTCCCCTTCGTGTTATCTGTTCTTCGTTATGCGTTATTTGCGTCGTTATCCGTTGCGATTCGTTGTCATTGAGACCTTCATCTCGCACATTGCAGAGGGAGAAAATGGCAAGAGACAAGTGATCTAATGATGTGGCACGGTGTGAGTGTCTCGATGCAGCGTCCTCTCTCTTTCCTTTTCATTTCCTGATCCGCTTTCGTGCACCAAGTTGATACGGAGAGCGTGGAATTACGGGAGACAGACCCGTGCATCAGGAAGCGATCTCTCTCTCTCGAAAAATGATATATATATGAATATTCACATACTTATACATTCATTTGCATTTATTTTATATCATATATATATATATATATACATATATATATATATATATATATATATATATATATATATATATATATATATATATATATATATATATATATATATGTATATATATATATATATATATATATATATATATATATATATTATATATATCATATATATATATATATTTATATCATATTTTCTATCTATCCATCTATGTATCTGTGTATAAGATGATGATGATGATCATCATCACTATTTTATTATAATAATAATAAAAATAAAGAGTTATAGCAACAATAATAATGATGATGATGATGATAATGAATAATATAATATAATAATAATAATAATAATAATAATATATAATAATAATAATAATAAATAATAACAACAACAACAACAATAACAATAATAGTAACAATAATTACATCAATAATACTAATAAAAATATAATTTATAATAATCACTACTATAATGATAATAATAGGAGGAAGATAAGCAAAGGAGAATATTAGAAGGAGAAGGGAGGCACACAGCAAAGGGAAATCCAAAAGAACTAAAAGAAATAACCGAAGAAGAACGAGGAAGAGGAGGAGAGGAAATAGAGCAGGAAATAATTGGCGGCTCGAGACATTTCCTGAGGAAAAAACGATAATAATAAGGAGGAGGAGAGGAGGAGGAGGAGGAGGAGGAGGAGGAGGAAGAAGAGGAGGGAGAATTGGGAGGAGGAGAAGAGGAAGATGGGGATGAGGAGGGAGAAAGAGGAAAGAGGAGAAGAAGGAGAGATGGGAATGAGGAGAAGGAGGAGAAAGGGAAGAGGAGGAGGAGGAAGAGAGGAGGAGGAGGAAGAAGAGGAGAAGGAAGGAAGAGGAGGTGGAGGAGGAGGGAAGGAGGAGGAGGAGGGGGAGGGGAGGAGGAGGAGGAGGAAGAAGAAGTGGAGGAGGAATAGGAAGAAGAAGAGGATGAGAAACAAGACAGGAAAGAGGAGGAGGAGGATTTTCACTCTTCCTTTTCTCCCAACCTATCTTCTCTACACTCCTCTTCCTTCTTCTCTACCTATCTTCTCTCCGCTCTTCTTCCTCAATCATCCATTCAGCATCTCCTTACCGGCGATCCTGCGCACACCTCCTTCTATGTTAAAAGACGCACTTTCCCCTCTATTTCTCATGCTGTAAGGCAGCGTGTTCTCGTCTCTTATGGAATGCTGTTCCCTTCTGCGTCTATTATGGCGCTGTCGATGGCATATTGAATATTTCTTATGGTATTCTTTATCTTATTTATTTATTTATCTTATTTATTTATCTATTTATTTTGATTATTATTATTTTTATTTATTTTTTTTATAATATCATTTTATCTATTTATTTATTTTTAAAATTATCATTATTATTATTTTTTTTTTTTGGGGGGGGGTATTTTGCTTTGCTGTTTCCTTTTCTTGTTTTTTTGTTGCTTTATTATTGTTTCTTACATTCTTTTTGCTTCTCTCTCTCTCTCTTTCTCTCCTCTCTCTCTCTCTCCCCTTGTGCATGAGTCTGTACGTATGCGTACGTACGGATGCCTGCATGCACATATAGACACATATTCATTTATCCACACATCTATCTATCTAGAACATCAGAAATGTCAATTGTAGACCTGAAAACACGACATGTGAAAATATATTCTCTCCCCCCCCCCTTCTACCCCAATGAATGACAATTATGCATTGCAAATCATAATGCACATTCGCAAAGTCATTTTCTTCCTTTCATTTCCTATCTATTTCCAATAACTCTTTATGCCGACAAGGAGATTCTGGCAAGCCCATGTCATTGTATATATTAAGAAATAAAAAAAAAACTAGACAAATTCCTAAATATCTTCCAGCCTACATAATCTTCAAATATCTTTTCCATCCTACATAATTTCGAGACGGCCTACATATGAACACTGTCTTCAATATTTCACCAATTCCACATAAAATGTATAGTCTGTGGTCTTTTATGTAGACTTAATCTATCTATATATATAGGTACATATCTATCTTTATATATCTATTTATCTTTATAAATGTATACATTAATCTATCTTTATGTATGTATCTATATCTATAAAGGCATATTTCAACCTATCTTCATATAAGTATACATCAACCTTTCTACCTTCATCTATCTATCTATCTATCTCTCTATAACTACCTATCACTCTATCCATCCCTCTTGATTTATATAAAATGTATCATCCTCGACTTTTAATATAGACTCTACTCTCCATCTGACATCTGCCTCCCTCCCCTCCCCCTCCCCTCCCGCCCCTCCGCCTTATCTCACATACCAACCCAAGGCCCTGATTTTCATATACATGTCTGTGTTGAGTGAGTGGGCGAGCTTGCTGGATGCGAGGAGAAGGTCGTAAATCTTGGGAACAGTTAGGAATTGCATCGATTTTGTCCTACTTTTTTTTTTTTAGCCGTGTGATCCGTTTTTTTTCTTTTCGTTATTTTTACTCCTCTTTTGTAATTACCGTCATTTTTATTATCATTACTATGGTTTATCATTATTATCCTTGTTGTTTTTGTTATCATTAGTATTGGTTTCCATTATTGTTATTATCATTATTATGTCCGTTATATATGGTTTTCATCACCGTTTTTTCGTCGTTTCCATCTATTTTTATCAATCTATCACTTTTCTAAAGTCAAACTGACAGCGACAGAGATAGATAGAGAGACAGACATAGTGAAGGAAAGAGAAAGAGTAAGCGAGAAAGAGAGAGAGAGAGAGAGAGAGAGAGAGAGAGAGAGAGAGAGAGAGAGGAGAGAGAGAGAGAGAGAGAGAGAGAGAGAGAGAGAGAGGAGGAGAGAAAGAAAGAAAGAAGAGAAAGAAAGGAGAGAGAGAGAGAGAGAGAGAGAGGAGAGAGAGAGAGAGAGAGAGAGAGAGAGAGAGAGAGAAAGAGAGAAAAAGACACAAATGAATACATACAAGAGAACGCTTCTGGAAGTAACCGCGGAGCAACAAGACAGTAGGTACCTATGGCTCTCCTATATCAACCCAAGCGCATTAACGTCACCCTCAGTCACCCTATAAACTCGGAAGGGGGGAGATACTGCAGTGACCGGTAATCTAGGGCTGACGTAAACACCGACCTGTTAATTGGGTCACGGTGTATTCTTACGTATACAGGGAAGGTAGGGTTACATGAACGAATAGATAGATAAATAAAAAAGTAGGTGATGTTTGGGTAGGAGGAAGAAGGGCGTAGAGGTGGAGGAGGAGGAGGAAGAGGAATTGGAGGTGGTGGTGGAGAGGAGAAGGGAGAAATTGGACGTGGTGGTGATGATGGAGGAGTAGGAGGAAAAGGAGGAGAGGAAAGAGTATAAGAAGAATAGGAACAAGAAAAAAAAAAAAAAATATACATAGAGAGAAAGAGGGAAAATAGTAGATAGTAGATGTGCAGCTACAAAGGAAGGGAGAGAGGAAAGGAAGAAGAAGGAGGAAGAGGAATGGCTTGAACAAGGAAGAGGATGCAGACAAGAAGGAAGACAGAGAAAACGAAGTGATAAGAGATATTATACTTCTGGAAAAAAAATATATATACATTTTTCTTATTGGAATATCATCGCATCTTTTCTAATTAATAAATTCAACTTATTATCATAATCTTAACAAAATTCGACACCTGATACAGATAGGTACAAGTCATTATGTAAAATTAACACTTATTCTAAACAAAAAGATGACAAACAGAATCATATTTGCTTTTCAAATACTCGTTATACGAAATATAACATCCAGACTGCTATAAAAAAATATTCTTAATGGAATGACAAAAGAGAAAAATGCATAAGTAGAAAGATAAAATAAACAAACAAAAAATCACATATTTAGAATTCTATAGATTAAAAAAAAAAGTTTAAGGGTTCTATTTAAACCAGTAGGAAGTATTTTCTTACCTGCAATTAACTGCCACGGCCAATCTGGAAAGAGACAGAAATATAAGTATATGCTTATGACGATTTTGACATTAATGTATGCATGAATATATGTACGTATGTAAGTATTCATGTATGTTTGTGTTTATCTATCTATCAATGTATGTATGTGTGTGTATGTATGTATGTATTCACGTATGTTTGTATTTATGTATGTATGCATGAATCTATGTATGTATGTATGTATGTATGTATGTATGTATGTATGTATGTATGCATGTATATATGTATACACGTAAGTACACGTAACTATGTATGTGTGCATGTATACGTATGGGCGGACGAGCGAGTACATGTGTACATGTACGCGTGTGTACGTCTATGTGCGTGTGGTAACCTCTGACCAAAGGGAACTCAGAAATGACTTCATCCAGGAAACTTTCAATGAGGAAACGGAAAGGTCACTTGGCCAGAGATCCTGAACACTCGAAAGTTTCCTAAAACGTTGAACCAGCCTCGTCTGTGCTCTGTATATCAGCTGTGCGTACAAACACTTATTGGAACACACACAGTTCGCATACGTATAAACATACGCAGATACATTTTTTCACACGCACATAAACGTATGTTTGTGTTCATGAAAATATATTCACATCCAGACTTCGCTCAACATTTCAAAGACAGCAAACGCAACTTAAAGAAAATTCTCTCCTTTTCCTTGTCGAGAGAGATCTCAGCCACCCCCCCTCCGCCACCCCCATCCTCCCCCACCCCACCCCCATTTACCAAGTGGTAGAATCTCCTGATGGCAGATACTTGCGGTTTTAGAATTTGCGCGGGAAAGGAGGTGGAAAGATCAAGGAATGAAGCAAGGAAGGGAAGGAGAGAGGGAAAGAGGGAAGGAGAGAGGGAGAGGGAGAGAGAGGGAGAGGGGAGAGAGGAGGGAGAGAGGGAGAGAGGAGAGAGAGAGGGGAGAGAGGGAGAGGAGAGAGGGAGAGGAGAAGAGAGGGAGAGAGGGAGCGGAGGGAAGGAGAGAAGAGAGAGAGGAGAGAGAGAGAGAGAGAGAGAGAGAGAGAGAGAGAGAGAGAGAGAGAGAGAGAGAGAGGAGAGAGAGAGAGAGAGAGAGAGAGAGAGAGAGAGAGAGAGAGAGAGAGAGAGAGAGAGAGAGAGAAGAGAGAGAGAGAGAGAGAGAGAGAGAGAGAGAGAGAGAGAGACTAACGTCCTTCTCCTGGTCACGTGCTTTGGTTAAAAAGGAGATATTTGTTAATGGTAATTTCGTGTTAATGTTAATAGGAGAAAGTGAGTAAGAATATTTAAGAAGTTATTTATTGTTTGTTTATATATGTGTGGACGAATGAAACGATAACAGAAGAGGGAGGAGAAAAAGGAGAAAAAAGAAGAAGAAAAGGCAAAGGATAAATAGGAAGAGGAGGAAGATAAAGACAAAGAGAATAAGAATAAGAAAAAAAGAGAAAAGGGAGAAGAAAAAAGAAGAAAAGGCAAAGGATGAAGAGGAAGAGGAGGAAGATGAAGCAGAGGAAAAAGAATAAGAAAAAAGGAAGAGGAAGATGATGATGATGATGATGAAGAACAACAAAACGAAGGAGAAGAAGAGATATAGTAAAAGAGTAACTGTATAAGAAATAAAGAAAGATGAGAAAGAATAATAACAAAATATAAAGGTGACGAAAAAAGGAAAAATCCATGACGAAAGAAAGGAGAGCATGGGCAAAAAAAGAGATAAGAAAATAATGATAATAAAAAAGAAGATAAAAAAACAATAAACCAGAAGAACAAAACAAAGAAAGAAAAGAAAGTAAACGATAAGATGAAATGAAAAAAAGAAAGAAAAAAAATGTTCGCCTTTCTTAGGGTGTAAATGACCTCAAATTCAAAACTTCAAAAGATAACATTGAAAAACCTTCCCTGATCGACGTTTTTCCACTCGGTTTAACTTTTCTTATCGTAATGCTCCCTCGATAACGCCTCTCGTTCGCCTTATAAGGAGGGTCACGTGACAGGAGTTGGTGGGAGATGTCAGGTCGTGGATTTTTATTTATATTTTGATTTTTATATTTGGGGTGCTTGATTTTTTTTGAGGGGGGGGGTGAGGGGGGTGTATGAGGAGGGATTATGTGTTTGGTTTGTGTGTATTTGTTTGTGGATGGGTGTATTGCTTGTTTGTTTGTTGTGAGTGTGCTGTGTGTGTTTGTTTCTGTGTGCTTGTTTGTTGTGTTTGTTTTGTTTCGTTTCTGTGTGTGTAAAATAAGATATCACAAACCAACAATTAAAAAACAAACAAACCGGAAACAAACCAAAACCAACACAAACGTGATACACCCTCCCCCCCCCCCCTCCCCGTTACCAAGCTCGACCGTGACACAGAAAAGCGCTGGGTACACATCCAACCCCCCTGGCACTGTGCCACTTCAGGTATAATTAACAGTGCCTCCCTCGCTTCCGTTTAGGTTATTCTGTCTTATTGGCTTGCTTATCATTAAGGTTATTGATCTACTTATTTAATTATTCATGTATTCATTAGCAGTTGGTGGTTATTACTGTTATTAAAATGTTGTTATTATTGTTATTACAGTTGTTGTTATTGCTATCGTTATTCCTGTTGTTTGTTGTTATTGTTATTATCATTATTACTATTGTTATTACTATTATCAAGAGAGAGAAATATGAAGACAAAGACAGAGATAGAACATAAAACGATAAGTAGAATTATAAAAACAAAAACTAAAAAGAAGAAAGAAAACGAGAGAACTATCGCGAGACAAACAGAGAAAAGATAAACACATAAATAAAAAGAGAAGAAAGATACTAACTGAATAGAGACAAAAAATGAAAGAAAAAAGAAAACGAGAGAACGAAAACATGCGGAACAGAAAGGTCACAAAATAAAAAGACGAAAAAATAAACATAAAATAACAAAGAAAACGAGAGCAAGAGAGGAAAAAAATAGAAAACGAGAGCGCGCGGAAAACAAGCAGAGACCGCGGGCACAAAACTACAAACAAAGAAGGCAGTTATCGTTAGACACAAAGACCTTATTTTCCTCTCTCTCTAAAGAATGAAATATGTGACGCTTTCATGTTAAGTTGCGGCTAATTTCGTCCCCTGTAATCTGACCCGATCTCGAGGTACGAGATGAAGCTTCTGATTAAAGAAGACGATTTTTAAAACTTTTTTATTTTTTTTTTTTTTTACGATGTCTGGAGAATCACGGAACGAGATCTCTTGGCAATTATGTTTTCTTTTTCTTTTTTGGGTATTTTTCTAGTTTTTTTTTTCGAGGTTTTTATACTACAGAACACGATTTCTCCAAAATAATAAAATGCGATTTCTGTAAAACCAAAAGTAATTAACAAACGCGACAGTATATAGCAATGTGATAGATGATGGAATAGGTGGCTATGCTGAGAGATAGGTAGATCGATAGAATGATGGATGGATTGATAAACAGAGATACATAGATGGATAAAGGTAGTAGGTAGGTAGGTAGGTAGGTAGGTAGAGAGAGAGAGAGAGAGAGAGAGAGAGAGAGAGAGAGAGAGAGAGAGAGAGAGAGAGAGAGAGAGAGAGAGAGAGAGAGAGAGAGAGAGAGAGAGAGAGAGAGAGAGAGAGAGAGAGAGAGAGAGAGAGAGAGAGAGAGAGAGAGAGAGAGAGAGAGAGAGAGAGAGAGAGAGAGAGAGAGAGAGAGAGAGAGAAGAGAGAGAGAGAGAGAGGAGAGAGAGAGAAGAGAGAAGAGAGAGGAGAGAGAGAGAGAGAGAGAGAGAGAGAGAGAGAGAGAGAGAGAGAGAGAGAGAGAGAGAGAAGAGAGAGAGAGAGAGAGAGAGAGAGAGAGAGAGAGAGAGAGAGAGAGAGAGAGAGAGAGAGTGGGAGCGTCTAGCGTACGTAATCATTTCAAAAGTAAAGGATGGGGAAGGGGTTTGGGATGGAGAGGGAGAGGGAGGGAGAGAAAAAAAGAGGAGCGAAAGGAAGAAAAGAAAAAAAAGGAGTAATGAGATCGGAAGGAGGAGAATGCAGCAGGGTTCGAAAATAAGAAAGGGTGGGGGGGGGTGAGGTAGAAAGAATGAAGAAAGAAAATGGGGAATGGGAGACAGAGGAATAAGAGAAACAAAGTGGGGGGAAATGAAGGAGTAATAGATAAAAACGAGAAGGACAAATAGAAGAACGAAAGGGGGTGAAAGAGAGGAGGAGGAATAAAAGGAAGGGCATAAGAAGGAGGGGCAGAAACGGTCTTTGACCACGAGGAATCCTAAGACCTGCGTGGGCGCCTGTGCGTTCATGTGTACGTGTCCGTTCATGTACGTAATTGTTTGGGTATGTGAGGGTGGAATCTACTTGTATTTTCTCCGCATGTGTACGTGTGTACGTTCGGTATGATGTATGTGTATGGTATAAAACATGGATATTGCGTATGTCCACGTGTGTGTGTGTGTGTGTGTGTGTGTGTGTGTGTGTGTGTGTGTGTGTGTGTGTGTGTGTGTGTGTGTGTGTGTGTGTGTGTGTGTGTGTGTGTGTGTGTGTGTGTGTGTGCAAGTGCGTGTGCAAGTGCGAGTGTGCGTGTGCATGTGTTTGCGTTTGAGCATGCGTCCGTATATGTGTGTGTACCATATACGTCCACGCCCGTGTGCACATGTACACAACCAAGCAAGACCAATGTCACAACCTCTGATCGCTCTCTTTGTGTGTGACAGCTCCCTCGGCGACCACCGGTAACCCCTGTGTCACGGCGGGGCATGCCAGTTTCACGCCACCGGCAGACGGGCTACGTGTCATGGCCATTGTCCTGGCGAGTGAAGGAGAGAGAGAGGAGAGAGAGAGAGAGAGAGAGAGAGAGAGAGAGAGAGAGAGAGAGAGAGAGAGAGAGAGAGAGAGAGAGGAGAGAGAGAGAGAGGAGGGAGGAGGGAGGGAGGGAGGGAGGGAGGGAGGGAAGGGAGAGGGAGAGGGAGAGGGAGAGGGAGAGGAGAGGAGAGAAGAGAGAGAGAGAGAGAGAGAGAGAGAGAGAGAGAGAGAGAGAGAGAGAGAGAGAGAGAGAGAGAG